AAAGCACAGAAGAGTGTTGCCATTAAGACCGAGGTACAGAAGGTGTTCATCAAAGGTCTTAAGGATTCAGGGGGGAAGGGGAAGAAAAGGAAGGAGAAGACGGGGAAAGCAGAACTAGGGCCAGAATCACACTGCTAATATTTAATACTTAAGGATTGGGTGCTGTCCAGATTGCCTTCTCCTTACCTTCAGATCAACTCGGAGAGAAATATTACTATTACCCTGCCTTTTTAGATGAGGGAACTAAGACAGTGAATCTAGGGCTCAGACCCAGGCCATGCTGTACTGTGGAATATAGAGAGTGTCCATAGCTCACCCTGGGGTTTGACCGGCTCGGGATACAGACCTGCTAAGATGAACACATTTGTCTCTATACTCTCCACATTTGCTGGCCCTCATTCTCTTAGCCCTTAAACTGAAGTTAATATCATTAGAAGGGGACAACTGGATGAATGGGGAGGGAGGGGGAGAAAGGGAGTATAGTTCTTGTTGTTGTTGTTGTTGTTTTACTCGTTAGGGGTCCACCACCCAGCTCCCAAATAAATACACAGAGAATTATTCTTACTTATGAATGCCATCTACCTTTTGCCTCTGGGCTGGGGTTTTTTTGTTTTTGCTTCCGTATCCCCCCCCCACCTTCCTTCCTTCTTACTCTATGGGTAGTTGTGTGGCGGGGTGGCTGGCCCATGGGCACCCTCTCTCCTTCTCCTTTTCTGGTTTTTCCCTTCTTCTCTGTGCATTCTCTCTGCCTGGCAGCCCCGCCTATCCCTCTCCTGCCAGCTTGACTGTCCACTCTATTGGACCAATCAGATGTTTTAGGCAGGCAAGGTAACACAGCTTCACAGTGAAACAAGTGCAGCACTCTTTGTATCATTGAACAAATACTTCACAGCATAGAAGAATGTAACACATCATCAGCCGATATTCCACAACAAGGGAGGGGGGTGGAGACGACACAACAGAGAGAAGGGAGAGAGGCCACAGGCAGGCGACTGGGGGCGCTGGGGTTCCAGGGATGACTTCAGTGGGCTCCTTTTGTAACAGGGCTTAAGCTGGACTTTCACCTGCTCTCATTTACCCCTTAAGCTCAGTGACTTGAGACAAACCACACACAGAGTTAAAGAAGGCCATCTCTTCATACCGCACACCACTGCCAGCCCTACCTTCCTGAGAGTCAAGATTCAGTATATAAGCTGCTGCATAAGCTCTGCCGCTGCTCAACACGTCCAGCCCCTTTCTGATAAAATCTTTATAAGCCAGTCTGTAATTGAACTCTTGCAAGTGCAGAAGTGAACATACACACTGTAGCGTTTGTGTGCTTACCTATTCCGTTTTTCTTGTTGCTGTCGTAACTTTAGTGGCCTAAAAGAGGAAGACTTGGGGCTGGAAATGCAGTTTAGATGACAGAACACTTGCCAAGCATGCAAGAGTCTGGAATGCAGTCCCCAGCCCTATATACACCAGGCATGGTGATGCACACTCAAAATCCCAGCACCAGAGACAGAGAAGCTGAAGCCTTGCACTATCCTCAGGTAAAGTGAGTTCAACCTTAGCTTGGCCTTTTAAAAAAAGAAAAAGAAAAAACAGGACAGATTTCCTGTATTCTCATTCTGGAACCCCTCATTTGTTGTGTTCCTTTGGCTCACCTGCTATGGCTTTCTCGACTGCCACATGCCGTGACTGGCCCTCTGCCTCCTCTTCTCAGGGATCTTATGATGATGCCGGGACCATATTAGCTCTACCCCATATTTGCTCTCCCCATTGGCCCCATAGTGACAGCTGCAGAGCATCTAGCCAGGCACAGAACCAACAGGGTCTAGAGATTCAGACGTGCACACCTTTAGGGAGCCATATTCTGTCTTCCATGTTGTGCTTCATTTTTCTAGCTCATTGACTGCTGATAGGGCATAGATTCAAATCTGGTGGGTTAGTAAGTATTGTCTCATCAGTGTCACCCCCAGGGAAACCTAAAGCCCAATGCAAGAGCCCAGAACAGTTGTCTCTGAGTCACCCTTGTTCCACGCTATGAAAAGTTCTAGTAAATTTGGCCTGAAATTGTCCTTGGCATTTTTGCCATTACAAAGAGAAATTATGGTTAGTCATATGTTTTAAGAATACTCAATTTTGTGTCTTAAGAGATGAATTTTGAACTTTTACATTGACAGAACCCCACTTTTACTCTATACTTCGAAGGAGCTAGCCAGCATCTCCTCAACCCAGCGGTCACACCTGCTTTTTCCGGCAGATGCCTTTTCCTGAACACCTCAGATGAGATTTTGGCTACCTGAACCTGTGGCAATCCTTTATCAGGATTATAAACCCAGAAACCTTCAGTTTGCCTCTCCAGATATGCAACCGCACTACTTGATGAAATCGAAGTTTGCGCAAGGAGAGAAAAGATTCCATTGGCCAGGCCATCTGTGGTTTCCCAAGTGCAATGTCACCTCCCTAGGGGATGTCACAGCAGGGAAGGTGTCCTGTCAGTGGGCAGAGGGAGGGAGGGAACCATAGGAAGCTGGGCTACTAACTCAACACTCAGGATAGGTCATGGGAGTGTGGACAGTCTGCCTGCTTACTCATTTGTCAAAAGGCAGTTGGTGTTCTGTGTCTCCTCGCCTGAATGCACCTGTCACCTCTGCCCCTCACCCAGGCACCACGGGTTTAACACCACCCTCAGGCTACATAAGCCACAGTGTCCCTTGCTTCAGCAGGAGCACCCATTTGGAACAGTACTAGACTACACTCTGAGTAAAAACACTGCCAGTTCTAATTTGTAAGACTGGATTAAAACCAAGATTCTAAATCAAAAACAAAACACAATGAAAAAAAAAACCCAAAACAAAGAAAAATATGCTATTCCTCTCTTACACATAATTCAAAATAAAAAACTGACACTAAGCCACAACTTAATAAGGTGTAATTCAAGACAGAAGGTGCTGGTTTCGATCCAGCAATCCCTGACTTTTAAAGGAAGCATCAAGTGATTTAAATACACTTGCCCCACGTCTTTGGGTGGCCATACCTTCCTGGTTTGATTCATTTGACTTTGCTGTCAAGCTCGTCGGACTGAATCACAAAGAATTCTTCATTTTGAACTTTTAGGCAGTTTTTGGGAAGTCCAAGGGGATGGGAAGCAAGCTGTTTCCTGTCTGGCCTCTGGCTGGGTCTGGCTCCATCACTGGGTGAGTTTTTAATGGCTTTCAGAGAAGCTCAGATGATGGAATATGCCTGCTCTGCAAGGATTGGAATATATTTGATAAGTTCCAAGTGATTGGTGCATCTATTACTATTAAAGTATCTTTCCTAGCCTGCCTGCCATTCTGAAATAGGCATTCAAGCTCCTGTAAATAATTATGGTGTTATAGTCCTTGGAAATGCCCTAGGGAAATAATGATAGAGAAAGCAGCCCTGACCTCAGTTTACAGTCTGAAAATAGGTAAAGCAAATGCAGGTGTCATAAGTGGCTAGATGGAAGAGAGATACAGCAGTAGCAGAAATGAGTACCAACCCTGAAGGTGCAGAAACATCTCAACCGTTACAATTGCTGACTTTCTCCCGCATGCTCATCTGTTTCTAAAATAACCACTCTTGTTCAGCTCATGTCACACAGTATATAGGGTTGTCTTGGGAGAGATGGAGAGCTTCTGGAAAACCCCTATTGCCTCAGAAGTCAATTTCTTGGCCGATAGGACTAGCTGGAAAGTTGACCAGCAGCAACTCTAAGAGCACTGACTGTAGCTATGCACTCTGAGGTCAACTGGGCACTAAGGTTTTAGTATGTGCCCAGGGTCAAGCAATCTGTGGTACTGGTGGGGGTGGACATGTCAGAGAGCAGTGTGGGCAGACATTGGTGGAACTGGCTTCACCAGTCTTGCTTTTCATTTTTATCAGGCGCAGTCCTTTCTCTACTCGAAAATTGAGTTTGGGGTGCTGGAGAGATGTCCCAGAAGCTAAAAGCATTTCCTGCCCTTCTGGATGACCAGAGTTTGGTTCCTAGTTCTCCCATCAGGCAGTACACAATCCCCTAACTCCAGCTCTGTGGGCATTTGACCCCATTTTCTGGCCTCCACAGGCACATACGTGGGATATACTCACAGACACACATGCATAAACAAGTTTAAATTTAAAAAGAGGAGCTTAAGAGATGGCTCAGCAGTTAAGTACTCTTGCTGCTCTTCCAGAGGAACCAGGTTCAAATCCCAGCACCCATACAACTGACCACCTATAATCCCAGTTCCAAAGGATCCAATGACCTTTTGACCTCTGAGGGCACCAGGCACACATAATACACAAAAATGCAAAATACTTGCATAAAAAAACAAATCTTAAGAACAATTTGAGTTTCTTTATCCTGGTAAGGCCCAATGCAAACTCTCACAACTCCAGCTCTTTATCCTGATCTAGGATTGTTTGCCTTCAACTCCACTCCAGCTTAAATCATCTCTTCTAATCACATCTACCCTTTTTTTGGGGGGGTGTCTATTGTACTTGTCTGTTCTCCTGCACACTCACCTACTTCCATTTATTGTCAATTGACTTTTAAAACTGTTTGTCTCCCAGACAGAAATACAAGTTCTTGAAGCTTTTCATCCAATTACCTGTGTGAGCTGCCCTGAATTAAACTTAACTGAGGTGCCACCTTTTGCATGAGTCATGCAGGTATAATGTAATTCTCATTTGTAACTTTGCTTAAAACTAAAAACTAAGTTACCTAGAGGAGCAGGTTAACCATTAAGCAATACTCTGCAAGTGCATGCTTGTAAGCAAACATTTTCATAGCCTTGCTGGCACAGCAGTGTGTGAATGAACCCTTTCTGATCCTATGACAGGCTTTGGTCACTTATTTTCTTGCACACTACTGTCCTATTGTGCCTGTGCTATGGTCTGTTTCCCCTTCACCCACTGCAGCCTAAGAGGAGAGGGCCACATGCACAAAACAAAGTAGGTACTAAACTCAGTTTTTTTACTTAACTTTTAATAAATGAGAAGAAACACAGTAGTCTTGTCTCATATAGAACGTTTATAATACATAACAATCCATAAAGCCTCGTGGTGAGGTAGGAACAGCTTTGGAAATTAACACAACAGTCATAAAACACACAGCAATTAGGGAAAACATTGCCACACCTGAGTTCTGTCTGCACCGGTGCTCAACGAAATGAGAGCCAAGTCAATGGCACTGTTGGCCCAGAGGACAGGTGGAGGCAGACAAAACCAACTCATGAAAAGTCTCAAAGAGTCACAGACACACTGACACTCCATTGTGCTGTTTCAAGGCAGACCCCTATCATGGCAATTTGTCTTTTTATATAACCACATATTAATTCTATGTTACATTCTCCTCAGCATCTTTTTGCCAGACACTGAACATTAATATTTTTGGTTTAAAAGTTTAAATTGATTAATATACAAAAGGCTCCTGTGCCAGTGGAAATGACTGCTAAATATTCCAGAACTTGTTAGTAAAACAAAATATCATCATCATATACACATACATATGTATATATGCAGCACTTTATCAAAATAGTACGGTTACAGTCCCATTCCCAGATTGGACCATGAAGCACTAGGGCAGTTTCAATTACAAAAAACAACAAAAGCCTTCCACCTGCCCAAGACCTCCTAACACTGTTTTATCACTTAACTGAAACGTAATATTAAAATATTTTCTATTGTAGAATCACACTCCTTATTTGTGTATGACTACCTTAAGACAGCAGGTTAATGACATTTATTGTTCAAATGGTTATCTGCTTGTAAAACAGTAAAAACATTCAAAACCAGTTTACACAACAAATACTTCACATTAGGTTTTGTCTTTTCCCTCAAAACTTCCAGAAACTCAAAATAACAGAATGCTGACAAGACATACACATGTAAACAGCTTCTTGCAACTTTCCAAACCCTTCCTGTTCAAATTACACACGTCAGGCTAAAGTCATCCAGCGTTTTTTCCTTTTCAACGTGAAATACAGTAGAACACTTAAGGGTTGTTTTTCATGTTCCAGCCTGTACTTCTACTCTGTAGACAGATAACCCCCAGAAAAGAATTACTCCTACAAGCTAAGAGCTGACCACGGAAAATGAAATCCGTCCAAGGCGCACATAGCTTGGAAAGATTCCTGGGTGCAATTTGGGAGCAGGAAGCACCTTCTCAGAACTCAGCCCCACGACAGACAGGTGTGCTGACCTTACTTGAAGACAGGACCAGTAGAACTTCACAACTGAAACTGATGCAGTGAAAGGCAACATATTAAACAATGGGCTAGTCCCAAAGAGGCCAAGGTAGCTCCCCATTTTCTTTCAAGAATAAGCTAGTTTGGAAAAGACACTCAAGTCCCACAACACTTAAATATAAAAACATGTCTTTTTTTTTTCTTAAAGATAATGCTAATATAGCTAAAAATGGGTTAGAAAGTGCATTGTAAAGAAATAAATAATTCTCTAAAACTCCAAGGTGAGTGGGTGCCCATGGATTTTGCTATGAGAAACACCTTTGGGGGAAAAAAAACCAAAAAGGCGTATGTATGGTACCACTTTTCCTGAAAAATAGGTCAACAAAGCCCTTGTCCCAATTCGTGGGGCACCTTCAACATGAACCCACCCAGAGTGTTTCTGAAGGACACTGGCTAGACAGCCCACTTTCACTAGTTTGCTGTGTCATTGCAGAAACCGATAAAACCTGTGTGGTACCAATGAGGAGTGTACTTGAGACAACTAGAGTTCTCTCGTACTCACCCATAGATCTCTCAATTTCATGTTTAAAGAAAAAAAAAAAAAAGCAAATTTTCGCAAAATTCCAAAGTAACCACCCACCAAGGGGCCGGATCACACATTAGTGAAGCATTATGCAGGTTGATGGTTGGCCCAGTGTAATAAATGTGGACTTACAAACTATGTTCCAAAAATCAAAATTCTCACCAGAAAACCCAGCTGTTCTTAAGTAGGCCCATTGCCAGCAACAGGCTTTTACACTAGGGAAAGGACCATCACTTCAAAAGTAACTGTCATACTCTAACACTTCCATTTTCAGGTTATTAAACAATGAATTATTTCAAATCCCCAAAGTGAACTTTCCCAAAAGTAGTTGGCTATAAAAGTTATTGAAGTAGTCAGAGTACTATGTTCCTAGAAAAATAGAGCTATACACAACTGATATTAATAGTCACTCCTTTGAAGACAAAAAGGTACATTTTCTTCACAAAATATTAACCTTTCTTGAGCAAGGTAAATATAACATAAGTATCTTCAAATGTTTGCATTGGATTTGAGATCTGTGGCAAGGGAATAGCTGTGAATGACTTGCTGGGTGCAAAGTGTGTCATCTCACAAAGTAAGCACTGTTGGGAAAACAGAGTGTGTCAAGACATGATGGCATAAAAGACCTACACACTTTCCCTGATTCACTTTGCTCTCTAAGATATCCAGTTTGCAAGAACCATCCAATTTCTTTCTTTCAAGACACTGGCTCTTGGCAAAGCACAGGCTATGCTTGCTGTGCACAAGAAAGGTGACATCTACATGACCGGGTCACTATGAAAAGTTTTTAAGACACAATTTAAGAGTAATAGTTGCTGTTAACGAAGATTAAGTATTCATTCTCAAAACTAGTCATGCATTTTGAAACTTTTAGCTCAACATCACTAATGCCAGTCGTTGAAAGAAAGTAATGCTGGCAAACATGTATAGAGTGACTTTGGTAGAATAAAACCACTTGATATTTTTCAAGATAATTTAGATATGTAGTCTCGGTATTAATTTAATAGCCTACTTAGTTCGCTTTCTTCCTTGCTCTTATTCCCTATATGTTCCACTATGTGTAAACTCTTAATTCATTTTGTGAATTTTCTCAGTTCACTGGACTACTCAGCAGTAGAGAATACAGAATAGTAACTTCTCTTATTTCCTGCTAAGTCATGAGTCATTCTGAAAATACGCTGCCATTATGTTAGTTTATGATCACAAAGGGCAAGTAGCTATTCCTGAAAACATCAAAGGAAACAAACTTGATGATTGTAAAGGTCCATCAGCTACAATTCTAACAAATAATGTATAACAATGGGGGGAAAAAAAAGCAGAGAAATTCTAGTAACAATTTTATTTATCCCCCTAATTTTTACCATGGGAAAACCAGGAATCAAATGTCATTATGTCATATAAAGTTTATACTTACTTTAAACAACAACAACAAAAATGTAACATAGTGTTAAAACTGGCTTTCAAAATGTGTTACAGCATGGCTGCACTATGCACTAATAATCACAAGGTTGTAATGTAGAACACTCTATTACGCAGTTCCATTATGTTCTTACAAAAATAGAATTAAACTGTGCGACCAGACAAGGACTTCAATTACACTACTTGGCAAACTTAGTATTTCAATGAAGTCTATTTTCTCTTGCAGTTTAGAAGCAAAGTCAAATATCACATCTTTTTCAAGACTCACAAAGATGATTCGGGCTGTTTTTTTGGCACGTTTTTAATCTCTATCACCACAGCAGGGAGGCTGCCTTCAGCTTTAGTCCTCCTGGGCTTCTTCTCTAGATTTTCACTGAGTTCTAAACAAGAAATGCTAACTGTTGGGGCCTTTTCTGCATCCTTCACAGAATGGACTTGAGGCCGTGTCCCACAGCACTGCTTCAGAGCGCACTGAGTTCTGCAGGCAAGTTCACATGGGACTACACTTGATTTAGAGCCCACGCTAGCAAATTCAGGCTGGATGGTGGTAGCGTGAATTCCGTGATTGTGAAAAACATCTTTAATAGTTTTGGCCACCTGCATGTATGAAGTGGGGTCTTCACATTTTATGTGGGCAGTGGCAATGATCCTGCTTCCAGCGAGCTGCCAGACGTGTAGCTCATGTACTTCCTCAACGCCTTCAACAGCTCGTAGCTCTTTTACCAAATGTCTGATATCAATTTGCTTAGGAACAGTTTGTAGAAGGATGAGAGCAGATTCCTTAAGCAGTGGATAGGTTGTGTAAAGAAGTATACAAACCATTATCACACACAGAGTTGGATCTAAGTAGAGTACCCAGCAGGGACCGGCCTCTCGAACTGGGGCCTGGGTGCTGTTGATGATCTCTACGGACGATCTGCAGGGATCTCGGAAACAGGGGTTTATACAGAAGTTGTCCTCAGAACAGCCCTGCCATAAGAAGTAAAACAGCAAGGCGTTCACTACCACGATCACGGAACCCAAGGCATCTCCAAGGACGTGCAGAAACACTCCCCGCATGTTCAGCTGTGCAGCCCTGCTGTCTTCCGCCTCCAGACGGTCAGGCTCCTGGATAAGATTCCCATTGACTTGTACATCCACTGGGTCATCACTTCTGGTTTTTTCTGGCTCTACAACAAAGCAATACAATTTTAATTAAACACATTCTAAGAGTTCAGACAAGCATTTTGTCTAGTGTTGGAGAAGTTGAAACTTTAAGAAAAGCACAATAAAAGTAGCAGAGAACAACAATGACAGTCTGGGCACTGCCAGGCCATATCAGGGAGGACTAAACTGTGCCATTAGTTTCCATCATTTCCTTCCCACTCCCTTTCTCCCCTGCCCCTCACTCTTGGGTTGGTATCCTGTAAATATTCTGCTTCACTGTTCTGACACATAATAGAAGAAAAACAAAACTTAAGGCTTTACCAGTCAAGCTCAGCTGAGGAGATAAGTCTCTAACACAGCTGATCTGATGTGGAGCACTCTGTAATCAGCGGCAGTAGCTTGAGAAAAGTGGCTTTAACTTTAAATGTTTATCATAAATATTATATATTTATGATATATATATGTCTCAATAGAGAAGGTTTACAAACTGACAAATCAACAACCTGGAGCTATTGCCAGGTGGTGGCGATGGCACACATCTTTTAATCACAGCTCTTGGGGCCCATCAATGTCAGCCTGGTCTACAGAGGACTGCCAGGGCTACACAAAGAAATCCTGTCTCAAGAAAACCAAACCAGACCAAACCTCCCCCCACTCCGCCCCCAAAAACCACAACCTGTAGCTATCAATGAGGCTGGAACTCAATAATCACTAAGTCACCTAAAAGACTGAGTCAGGGCTGGGTGGTGGTGGTGCACACCTTTAATCCCAGCACTTGGGAGACAGAGGCACACAGGATCTGTGAGTTCCAAGCCAGCTTGGTCTACAGAGCTAGTTCTAGGACAACAAATGCTGTTACAGAAACCCTATCTCGAAAAAACAAACACAGAGAAGCCCTGTCCCAAACAACAACAACAACAAAGCAAAAATAGATTAAAAAAAAAAAAAAAGATTTGAGTCAGGGCTGAGTGGTGGTGGTAGCACTTAATCCTTTAATCCTAGCACTCAGGAGGCAGAGGCAGGCGGACCTCTGTTGAGTTTGAGGCCAGCCTGGTCTACAAAGGGAGTTCCATGACAGCCAAAGATACACACGGAGAAACCTTGTCTCAAAAAAACCCAAAACTTCGAGTCAGAAGGGCGCACCTGAGTAGTTCCATTTTCTTGGGAGTGAGCGAAAACCTTTCCCATGTACCATCTGAACATGTTACTACACTCTGAAGTTAAACTGCCTCTTAAGTGTGATTTAGCCAGATTTAAATGGCAAGGATCACAAAACGTTCACATCCAGCTTGGGCGGTGCCGGCTGGTCCTTTCTCATTCTCATTCCTTTCCAACAGTCACCTTCCAAATTTCCCACAAGAGCACATGTGCTCAAGATGAAAAACGTTCACTACAACCACAAGGGAAATATATCACCACCATGATGGTCTAGCACCATGATGCCAAATCCCTAAGAGGTGAACGCGCAAGGTGCCCTGGCAGGTCCCTAACCTGTGATTTTTCCGGATTAGGTGGTCAAATCCAGGGAAACACACACCGCCGCTCACAAAGGCCGCCCTTTAACCAGAGCCCACACACCGCCCCACAACAACACATCATTATCAAACTTGTTCAGTGGGCACGAAACCACCGCGCACCAGGGCGCGCGCGGGGCGTGGCACCCACCGCAGTCGCCAGGGGGCGCCCGTCCGGACCCCTCTGGCATTGGCACTCACCTGCCCGGTCTGCCTTGAGCCCGTTGGAATTGCTGGTGTTGGCCACCAGCGTATTGGTCTCCTCCTGGTCCGGCGCCCGTCCGGGCGGCGCGCCCGCCTCGCCCACCGCGCGGCCCGCCTTGCGCGCGCCCTTGGCGAGGTGTCCGTGTCCGTGTCCGTGCGAGTGGCCGTGGCCCGCGCCCTGGCCCTCGCCGCTGTGGTGGTGGAACAGGCAGAGCCCCAGCACGTTGACCAGCAGCCCCGCCACGCCGACACCCAGCACCACGAGTGGCTGCTGCATCTCATGCGGCTCGATGAAGCGCTCGACGGCCTCCAGCAGGATGGCGAAGCACAGCCCCGTCAGGAAGATGGCGTTCACCAGCGCGCCCATCACCTCGGCGCGGATCCAGCCGAACGTGTTCTTCTGCGTGGCGTGGGTCCTGCGGGCGAAGCGCTCGGCCACCAGCGCCACCACGAGCGCCAGCACGTCCGACAGCATGTGGAAGGAGTCGGATAGCATGGCGAGCGACGCGGTCACCCGGCTCACCACCACCTCCAGCACCATGAACATGAAGGTCAGCAGCAGCATGCACAGCAGCCGGCCGCGGTTGCGGCCCCAGCAGCCCATGGCGGCGGCCTGAGGTGCGGCGCTCAAGCGGGAGCGGGAGCCGGAGCCGGAGCCGGAGCGGCGCTGTGGGGAAACCGCCGGCCGCGCAGCTACTCAAGCGCCGGGGCTCGGCTTGGCGGCGGGACGGACGAGGTGGAGGGCGCGGGCGCGGGAGGGTGACTGCGTGCCGAGGGGCCGCCGAGCATCGGACCGAGGCGCTCGGGAGACGGCGTCCGCGGCGACTGCGCTCGGCCCGGCGGCGGCCGCCGTCTTAACCCCCCCGCCTTTGCAGACGGTTTACAAAAAAACTTTGCTTTGCACTCGGAACCCCCGTTTTCACACGGACCCGAGCGTGACAAGGCCCCGGGGCCCCGCCCCCCTGCCCGGCTCGCTGCCTCATTGGCCAGGACGGCCTCACGACAGCCGCGGTGTCCCGCCCCTCCGTTGCCTCTATTGGCTGGCGCGGCGGAGGGGGCGGGGCGAGGCCGCGGGAGCTGCGGGCGGGGCCTGTGCTCTGGGGAGCCGGGCGTGGGCCGGGGGCCGCGGCCGGGTGCAGCGGCGGGCGGCGCGGGGGAGGGTGGGCGCGGGCCGCGTGCAGCGGAGGGGCCGGCGGCAGGGCGGCGGCGCCGAGCCCTGGGGCGCAGCGAGCGGATCCCGCTTCCCGCGCTGCGGATTCCGGGCTGCGGTTCTGCCGCACCCGCCCGGCCTCCTTAGACTTTGATCCTGCGATCCGGGTGATCCGGGTGCACGTGGGGGCGGCTGGGTGACAGGTCGACGCCCTGGAGGGGCGGGGAGTGCGGGCTGTGCGGGCCGGCGGGGTCGTGGCCGAACGAGGAGCTGAGCTGGGTGAGCTGGGGACTAGCTTGCTGGCAGCCCGACCGCAACCTCGGGAACAGTTTCCATCCAGCGGGTCACCCGCAGGGCCACCTCCCCGGGGGGACCGTGTGGAGTTGGGCCTGTCTGTCACTGACTCTGAGGTGTGGGGTGCAGACTTGGGGCGGAGGACTGCTGTGTGACTTGGGCAGGTCACCTAATCTCGCTACACCTGTTCCTTCATCAATAGAGGGAAGGGTTGGGCAAGTGGAACTCCTCTTCCTTCTAGCTAAAATTCCAAGGCTCTGTGATTTCACACTATTTATAGGCTACAAGCCTCCGAACTCTTGTATGGGCTGCTTGGAGGGGGAGGGGCGGCCAGAATACAAAAGAAAGGAACCAAACACCCTTGCTAAATTGGACTAGGATTCATTGGAGTTGGCACTCTAAGTGAGACCAGTGTTTGTTGTGTGCACATCTGTGTGATTTAAGGGTGCCACAGAGTGGTGTCTAGAATCATTAGTGGCCTCGGCTGGGCCACCAAACCTAAGGAAGAACTAGCCATTGCATCAACGTGTGAATGGCCTGTGTTCTTTGGCATAAAAAAAAATTCTACGTTTTGGCTTTTCAAGAGGGTTTCTCGGCGTAGTCCTGGCTGTACTGGAACTCCACAAGAGATCCTCCTGGCTCTGCCTCCGGAGTTCTGGGATTAAAAGCATGTGCCACCACCACCCAGCGGAGCAACAATTCTTATTCCAAGATTGCCTCTCACTTGTACAAGATGCTCTCATCTGCGTCCTTGTTTTCTTTGTCTCTCTGAATAGGAAAGCCTGGAGAAAGATTCCCAACACCGTAAGGGCAGAAATGGCAGAACTTGGTGATTAACTGGGTGTTGGGAGGCAAGAGCTAAAGGGGAGAAAATATCGCAGTTATGTTTCGAAACCGGTAAGAGATGTTGCCTTAAACAGTATTTTATTGGATAAGCAATGGGAGTGGAAACTGTCTTCAAGGGGAACACACAGGGTTCCACTCTGAGACACTGATTTAGAAGTAGTACCAGAAGAATAGTGGTGTTTGGATTGGTGGGTCTGGGACTCTAGTAATCCCCGCCCCCCTATATGCATGCACATACAGGTGGGAAACACAGCTTCAAACTTCCTTCCAGTCTGCCTAATAGAAGTTTAAAATTGGAAGCCACTACGGTTAAGGTGTCCTTATGTGTCTGACTGGTCAGTTGTGGGGCATTTTACTTCCTCCTGTAGCCCTATATTGGAAGACGGATTCCTTTAAAGAAGTGGTTCTCAACTTTCCTAATTCTGTGACCCTTTAATACGGTTCCTCATGTTGTACTGACCCCCAACCATAAAATGATTTTCATTGCTACTTCATAACTACACTGCTGTAATAAATCATAGATATCTGTGTTCTCTGGGGTCTTAAGTGACCCCTGGTTGAGAACTACTATTTTAAAAAGCAGTTTCAGTTTTTGCAAATCAGAAACAAATAGGTAAATGTGTAAGGCAGACTTGCCCTGCCCACTGGGCCTTGCCCTGTAGGGGCTAAACAGACCAGACTGGAAGATGTTTAGATGTGTAAGTCATCGACTTTTCAGAGTCTAGCACCATCTGAGGTGCTTCTGAACTAACCCACATTGAAGCTGGTTGCAGACAGTGCTTTTATTCCCTCATCCCCCTGGTAGGGGGCAGGGTAGTACAGTTCTGAGGTGTGGAGAAGTCATAATGGCCAGCCAGCTCCAACAGTAATCCAGGGTGGGGACCAGCTGAGGGGTTCAGTGGTTACCCAGCCTGAGCAAGGGCCCTGGGTCCCCAGAAGAGCACAATAGCAGCAGGACTATCGTCAACCTTACTTTCTCCCTTATTCTTTTTGTTGTTGTTGTTTTTGTGACAAGATCTCACTGTATAACCCTAGCTATTCACAGAGACCTGCTTCCTGAGCCTCCAACATTTGGGATTAGAAGGTGTGAAATGTGTAAAGCCAGGCTGTGGTGGCTCAAGCCTTTAAGTACCAGCACTCAGGAGGCAGAGGCAGGTGGATCTCATTGAGTTCCAGGCCAGCCTGGTCTACAGAGAGAGTTCCAGGACAGGCTCCAAAGCTGTAGAGAAACCCAGTCTCAGAAAACCAAAGGGGGGAAAGAAGGTATGCACATCCAGGACCAACCCTCCCCTCCCTTTGTGTGGACAAAACACTTAGGTAGTTTGACGAGGTTTTCGTTTGTTTTTCCTTTTCCCCAAGTTGCCCTAGAAACTTAGGAAAGTTGGGTTTCTTCTTGTTTGGCTTTTGTACTTGAGGCAGAGTCTCACTGTGTAGCCCAGGTTGGCCTTGAGGGCGCCACCCCTTGCCACCACTCTCATCTTGCCCCAGCACTTTTCACACGGTGCAGGGTGTGTGTAACTGGAGGGGCCATGTGGGGTCTTACTAGTGCCTCCTTAGCATGTGGCCTGGGTTGAGTAAACTAACTTTTTCTTCCTTCTTTTAAAGAAGTTGGCAATTTGCTCCATATCCAAGCTGACTAAATCTAGAGAAAAATACTGGCAGTTTTGGGAATTCCCAATGTGGCTGCAAGGCAAATGTAACAGGTGCCCTTTACTCAACCCTGGGAACCTGTCCTTGCTCCTGGTGGAATTTGGGAAGAATCATACAGGATTGTGAAAGCCCCAAACATGCCTCTGAATTTATATTATAAAAACACATCAGTGTAGCTAGGTGGTGATACCTGCCTTTAGTCCCAGCACTTGAGAGGCAGAGGCAGGCAGATCTCTGACTTCGAGACCAGCCTGGTTCACAAGAGCTACACAGAGAAACCCTGTCCTGCAAAAAACAAAATTATTGTATAAAGTTGAACCTTGCCTGGAAAGACACCCCCCCCCAATTTACCACAGAACCATGTAAATACCAGATTGCATTTGACTTCAGTCGACACTAAGCTACAATGTCCAATCTCAAAGGAAAACTCAGGGGAAATGAGTTTGTTTATTTTTGTGTCTTTTTGAAAGCACTTGAGCACATAGGAGCTGAAATCTCAAGCAACAACACGAGTGCCAAGGTCTGATATTTGTTTAGCTGCCAGCAGAGGAACAAGCAATAGAACAAAGAATAAACTGGTAACAATGTAGCAGTGAAACTCAGGAATAGCACAAAAGGTCTCAGTGGTCCACCGGAAACATAAAGAAACCTGGAGGAGCCGGAAGCCTGCTGGAGCAAAAGGGAAGCCCACCCATGTGGAGGAGAGACCTGCTTGGCCCTGGCCCTAGCTGGGAGGGTTCACTTTTGTGGACCTGAAGGGCTGCAGGAAAGGCTGGCATCAGAGAAATATTTTATTCGGTGATAGCAAAATGGAGTTCTGCGGTCATGGCAGGAAGTTAAGGCACAGTCACATAGCAATGCTTAGTAGAAGTATTGGGGTCTCAGGCATGTGAGTCTAGCTGCTGTGGGCTGTGGAAACCTAGGCAAGATGCTCAGGAGTTGGCCTGTCTGGACTGCAGAGTGAGTTTGAGACCAACCTGAGCAGCTTATCAAGACACTGTCAACAGTGAAGAGAGAAGTAGGGATATAGCTTAATGGTGTACCGCTTGCAGGAGGCTGTCGTTGACCCCATCATAGAAACAAGAATTTGTGAGGTTTCATTACATTTGTCTGTAGAGGTCCAAGGACAACTCTTGAGTTGTTTCTCAACTTCTACCATAAGGATCCCAGGGATTGAACTTGGCTTGTCCGTCTTGGTGGTGTGCATCTTTTCCTGCTGAGTCAACTTCACCCTTGTGTTTTGGGTGCTGTTAACAGCAGAAACGGGTGAAGGCTCAGGTTGTCTTACGTTTTAGACTTGGAATGCTTGTACTCTGATCATGGTGGGATTTTTTTGAGACATGCTTGAGATATAGCCCAGGCTAGCCTTGAATTTATATTCCCACCTTAGCTTCCCAGGTGCTGAGATTGCAGGTACCAGTGAACCACCACATCTGGCTTCATCTTCTGTAGTCTTTTCCACTCTCCAGGTTGGGAGGTCACAAAGCACAAAGAACATGCCTTAAAAAATATAATTCGTCAGGCATGGTGGTTCAAGGCTAACCCTTGGACATATGCCCCTTCTAAAAATTAAAACAGAATAAAGCATCTCTTTGGAGGGATGTAGGACAATCCAGTCCACAGGCTGCATTCATTAACTTAGCTTGGTGGCACATGCCTATAACCCCAGAGCTAGAGAGCTGGGGAGGCAGGAGGATCAGATGTAGTGTCATCCTAAGCTACAT